CGGTGCGCTTGTAGAAAAGCCGCTGCGGCGGTCCGCTAAGTGCGGCACAAATGCATGACACGCGGCTGAGGAAGGCAGTGCACTTAGGAAGCCCGCCGCGGCGGCACGCCGAATTGAAGGTGTTGATTTAGGAGCATATAGACAGCGGCCGCGGAAGGCAGTGCGCTTGTAGAAAAGCCGCTGCGGCGGTCCGCAAAGTGCGGCACAAATGCATGACACGCGGCTGCGGAAGGCAGTGTGCTTAGGAAGCCCGCCGCGGCGGCACGCCAAATTGAAGGCGTTGATTTAGGAGCATTTAGACAGCGGCCGCGGAAGGCGGTGTGCTTGTAGAAAAGCTGCTGCGGCGGTCCGCTAAGTGCGGCTCAAATGCATGACACGCGGCTGCGGAAGGCAGTGCGCTTAGGAAGCCCGCCGCGGCGGCACGCCGAATTGAAGGCGTTGATTTAGGAGCATTTAGACAGCGGCCGCGGAAGGCGGTGTGCTTGTAGAAAAGCTGCTGCGGCGGTCCGCTAAGTGCGGCTCAAATGCATGACACGCGGCTGCGGAAGGCAGTGCGCTTAGGAAGCCCGCCGCGGCGGCACACCGAATTGAAGGCGTTGATTTAGGAGCATTTAGACAGCGGCCACGGAAGGCGGTGCGCTTGTAGAAAAGCCGCTGCGGCGGTCCGCTAAGTGCGGCATGAAGGACGCTATGAAGTGGGAGCCTGAACGCCTGGCAAGGATGCTGGAATGTATATGGTCTCACCGCAACTCTATTGTTCCCTTTGGCCGTAAGTATACTTCATCACTTGTCTCGTTGGAAGTGCGAGGTAGGATGGTGCTTATAGGCGATTTGGCAGCCCTTGAGCCCTCGGCTCGTACTAGGGTGGTTTGCAGGTACGGGGAATAGGGTGGTTTGCAGGTACGGGGAACGCACCCACGACCATGTAACAACAACAACAAGTGCGGCACAAAAATGCATGACAATCGGCTGCGGAAGGCAGTGCGCTTAGGAAGCCACGCCGAATGGAAGGCGTTGGGATTTAGGAATCTATCGACAGCGGCCGCGGAAGGCGGTGCACCTGTAGAAAAGCCGCTGCGGCGGTCCACTAAGTGTGGCACAAAATGCATGACAAACGGCTGTGGAAGGCAGTGCGCTTAGGGAGCCCGCTGTGGCGGCAAGCCGAACTGAAGGCGTTGTGACCTAGGAGGATATAGATAGCGACCACGGAAGGCGGTGCGCTTGTGGGAAACTGCTGTGGTGGTCCGCAAAGCGCGGCACAAAATGCATGACGAGCGGCGGTGAAAGGCAACACGCCAAACCGAAGGTGTTTGGTAGGGGAACTTGTAGACAGCGACCACAGAAGGCATTGCGCTTGTAGCAAACCGCGGCAGTGGTCTGCTGAGTTCGGTTCACAAGAGGCTGCAGGAGGTAGCGTTCTTGAGTAACCCGCAGTGATGGCTTGCCGGATTACAGGTGTGGCGATGTAGGAGTATGTCAACAACGATCGCAGAAGGCGGCGCACTTCTTGAAGGGAGACGGGGAGGGACACGTTTCAGACACGGGACCAGAATACCAGACACAAAGCGGGGCACAGAACGAGCCACAGCTATTAGAAGGCCGTTACTGTTACCCATAAAACCCCATAAAGGGTCGACCCACCGATGGAGACCATAAGGGTAGTTGCCCGAGGAAGGCGTGGGAAAGCCAGAAATAAACGCGGTAATCGTCCCCAACGCCCTTGCCTGGGAATGTTTTTCAGCTAGGCGGCTGCCGAAGGCATTAGCATCTTTCTGTATGAGGAGGGGCGAAGGCCGATTCGAATGTCATTGGTTGGCCCATCAGGAAACCAGAAGCAAGGATGCCGTGAGGAGAGAAGGGCGCTCCAAAAAAGGTCAAGGCATGCCCAGACGCAGGCTACGGAAGTACCAGAGAGGGCCGCTAGACTGCCGGGGCCAGTCAAGGTTACCCTGTTAAATTGCAAAGCACGGCCATGGGAGCGGAGGAAAATTGGCCGAGAACTACCGGAGCAGTCAGCTTCCCCGAGCAGTGGGGAATCGGCGAGTGGCAGTGACGAAAATATGTAACCAGGGCGGATGACTAGGGCCAGGAGGGCGGAATCGGAGGACATACGCCAGGCTAGAGCCGAAGGGTCATCCACTGCCAGCAGACAAGCGGAAAGGGACATCCGGTCCGAATCCAGGGGCCCGGTTGGGCAACAAGTGGATTGGCGAGCCTTGGGGAAAGACGTTGGCTGCAAAACAGGGAGACAAGGCCACGTCACTCAGAGGCACGTTCGAGCCCAACGCGGCCTCAGACCCAGGAGCGATAGTGGCATTACGAATCGAAGAATTTTTGGGCTCCGAGGACGGCCGTCAACTTTGGTGGGGCGGCGCAAAGAACTTATGGCGATCGGTTTGGCGGACGCGCTGGAACAGTTGGTTCTAGCGAGTAGGGCAGGATCTCTGCGATGGATGCACGAATTGCTGGAGGCGAGGCTACGATGTGGACTGACACCCCTTATCGAAGAGATAGCAGACCAACTGGCGGCAGCCTTCTGAACAGCAGCGGGAACCTATCAGGGTGTGAGTCCAGTTTTGGGGGAAAGTGTCCAGTTCCCCAATTGATGACTACCACGTGTCAGAGGAGCAATGCGGGGCCAACTTAGGTGACTTATAACGGGTGCCCGGGTGCACCACCTGGGGGTGGTTGGGGGGACGCGGAGACGAGAGTGAGAGAGTTGGAGATACGAAATGGGGAGAGTTTACGGCGGGAGCAGGAGTAAGGCGAGGCAGAGAGGGGGGCGCGCGGAGCGCGGGTGGCCGGGGTGTTTTAGGTTGGCAGGGGGATGGAGGGTGGGACGCCGTGCATGGTGCGTGGGGCTCGCTTAGGCTGAGAGCGTTACAAAGGTTGTAAGTGAGCCCTTCGTATCATACGGATGCTCGCCCCAACTAATCCGGCCCTTACGGTGGCGGGCTCTTTGACTTCAGAAATGCCAAATACAGAAGTACGGAGGGCCCGATGCCAACCCCGGATATCACACCAGGACGAGACAGTCCGAGTTTGGCCATTCCAGCACAGAATGCAGAGTCAGACAACAGATACCAACTAAGCTTTATTAAGACAGGTTACAGAAAATAGACGACTAGAAAGACTAGAGAAAGTCGAGGTCGCCCTCCCTCCCCACCCTTGTGAGACAGGACCAAACACGCACAGACGTATCACTCATCATCACTCTCAGAAACCACCAGCCCCGTCCCCGTCCCGCCGGCCGGGAGGCGGGCGAGATGCCTAGTAGGATCCAGATAGCGGTGCAGAGTACCCAGAGAGCGGATGTGCGCGGAGCGCATGAGATCCTCATCGGAGACCCCCTGAGACTGGGCATGCTGCAAAGCACCCCGACGAAAACCGTGCACCGTCTCTCCACCATATAGCCCAGCAGCGGTAAGATGAGCGACGAGGCGATATTCCAGGGCCTCGGTCGTCATCGGCGCCTCCCGATATGCGCGGCCACTGTGCTCCGCCGGACGGAAGAGGTATTGGGTAATAGGGGTACCGGCCCTCGTACACGTGCTCATGTACACTGCGAGAACCCGCAGCGTGCAGATGAGAGGATCACGATCTGGACGCAACATCGTCGCAGGAGCACGCTGACCCTTGTACGTCTTGGTATTTAATTCTTCGATACATAGTACAGTGTCGGGAGAGACACTCCCGTCAGGCGCGGGTAGGGGTAACGGCCAGCCCTGGTACTCGGTACGGCCATGCACCATATCCCTGAAATCACTGAACACCAGCTTGCCGACATCATGACCGCGCTGATAAGTATGCCACATTAAAGCAAACAGAGACAAGTCCCGAAGCACCAAACTGCGAGCAAAGAAATGCTCTTCATCGCCGGACGCAATCCACAGATGGCAGGCCAGGCGACGAAACTTCTCCGCGGTCAAAGGGATGGCGCCTCGCTCCACATAACCGGCGTCACTAAGGTCCCGTCCGTAGCCCTTGACATAGCCTCGCACCAATGAGCTGTCGCAAGGATTCCCGCGGCTTTGAGAGGCGTCATAGTCCCCTTCCCGGCCCAGCTGCTTAAAGGCAGTCGCAAGGCTCGAGATAACCCTTTTTACAGCACTGGCGCTGGGACGCCGGTCTGCCCGCAGACGCCCAGGGTGCCGGGGGAACCACCATTCCACCAGATACGAAACTATGGACATAGGATCGCAGGTGAGCAAGGTGAGCCCGAGAGACTGGCGCTGCAACCAGCCATGAAATTCTCGCGCAGCACTTTGAACCCGCCGCCAGCTCTCAGAGACCCACTGACGTTGGTGCACCTGGTAGATGGAGAGCAAGGCGGCCGTGAGCGGCGGCCGCACTGACACGTCCCCGGTAAACTCAGAGTAATACAGAGCCGCGACAGGGTCTAAAGGCGGCGGCGCCGACCTCGGGAGACGGATAGGGCCCGCAGCAAGCGGAGGCATGGCAGGGAGAGCATTACCAGTAAAGACCTGCGGTGATAGTAGAGCCGAGGCGTAGGACGCACTAAGCTGACGGACGTCCATCGAAAACAGACAAAACGTACCAGCGGCAGGTGTAACGGCGGGACGATGAGATCGTCACGCACAGGCGTAACGGTAACGAATCGATGAGGAGACGAAGTAAGTGGGTCTTGGCCCCACGGTAAGCCGCCAGGTACGAGAGGAAACATAATGCTAACGGATACTCGCGATAACACGAGTACTTGATTCAGGAACACGGACAATTATTACAATAAAACGGGACGCGATCGCGCTTCCAAAAAATTTGGATATCACCGAAAAGGGCCTAAATTCGTTCGTGCGTGGTGCGTGGGGCTCGCTTAGGCTGAGAGCGTTACAAAGGTTGTAAGTGAGCCCTTCGTATCATACGGATGCTCGCCCCAACTAATCCGGCCCTTACGGTGGCGGGCTCTTTGACTTCAGAATTGCAGGAAGATTTGTGTACGGAGTTGAGTAATTAAACTGGGCTGCGCATTTTCAAGATTAAGGAGCAATGTATCACAGTAAGACGAGGGAGAGGAGGTATTGGTAGAGGAGGAAGAGGAATGAGAGGAGGGATAGGGAAGAGGAGGAAGAGGAGGGAGAGGAGTGGGGGAGTGAGTTGAAAAGACGAGGGAGAGGAGGGTGAGATGGGAGAGGAGGCAGATGATGGAGAGGGGGAAAGGAGGAAGAGGAACGAGAGGGGGGAGAGGACGGAGGAAGAGGAACAAGTAGGGGGAGGAGGGTATAAGGTGGAGAATGGGGATAAGCGAGGAATGGGGGGAAGGAGATGAATCAGTGTGAAATTGAGGCTTAGCTATATGCGGTTACAAAAGTTCTTCTCAGGCGGCAAGCAAGGAGGAATAATTAGGAAAGGAACTGTAGCTTTAAATTATAGAACGTTCTTGTCGAGATTCTCAACTCGAGAACTACAGGAAGACGCGTACGGTCGAGAATATGAATAGTAAAGATTGTTAAAAGAGGATTAGGAAGCAAAGAGGATGAATTAGGAAAGGAAATGCAGATTTAAATTAGAGGACGTTCTTGTTGAGAACTGCAGAAAGAGGCGTGTACGGACGAGAATATGAGGATTAAGGATTGTTAATGAATCACCAAAGTGTTTCCTTTTGATACTCTCATTGCCGTGTTTAAAGACAACAGGGCCCAGGCTTTTACGAATCCACCCCAGGAATATCCGAACACATCCCAGGCAAACCAGGAGAGGAGAGGAGAGGAGAGGAGAGGAGAGGAGAGGAGAGGAGAGGAGAGGAGAGGAGAGGAGAGGAGAGGAGAGGAGAGGAGAGGAGAGGGGAGGGAGCCTGTTCCGAAAGTAGTGTTATCGGTCATTCTTGGTGGCGCCTCTCGCGCGGCTCTTACTTTATCGATTCGGAATATTTTCGCATCAGTGATGTGTTAACACAGGCTGACTATTCGTCACAGCTGGCGTGGAACGGCTCAAGCCACCAACCCGCCGCTGCGCTATTTTTTACGGCAGAGTCACAGTCGGTACTCGTCTTTTATGAATATGTGCCGCAAATGGTGTAACAGTCCATGAACCAATTGCTAAGCCTTTACGTTATACTCATCACAACAACGTGTCGAATACAACTGCATGTTGCCCAGCCTGGCAGAAGTGTATAGGCTTCTGACTCAGAAAACGCAGCACGTCTAGCGTGTCCGCTAGGGGACCCAGCAGCCGACGACTTGGAATAACAGGCATTTCTTGTTAGATTGTCGTGCCCTTGTTTCAGCGCGACACACCAATTACATCCTTGATGTGCCTGTCATTTCATGCATTTCTCTTGACATGCAAGTGAGCAATCATCTCGGCCGTAACCTCGGCTGTAACAATCACACACACCTCGGCCGCGGAAAATTATTAACACCAGTATTGTCCACGACTTCTGATCAAGCACCCTATATTCCTCTCAGCCATTCCTTTTTGCATAAGTACGTCCAATCCTTCAAGTCGCATTATAAACATGTACGGCATTGAAATGCATCTAACTACCTTCCTTCCATCAATGCACCACACTAATTACACCACACCCATTACAGACTTTGGTAATTTCTGGGCAAGCCCTACCTTACGCGTAGCGTGTGTCGTTTTGCAAAGGAAACCGGTTTCGCAATGGACTATGGACGAGCGGTTCTGCGCGGGTGATCTCCTTTTCAAGTCACGACGCGCCAGTGTTTGTTATTTTCAGGAGGACATTTTTTCGGAGCGCTTCTGAACACGATGACTTTGGACCTTACGGCCTGTTCGTGAGGCGTTGTAGCGGCCGCGCCTGGGCAGGCAGCATCCGGCGGTAGCCCAAACATTTCGCGTTCGAGGGAACCGCTGGATGGACACACCGGGGGGCCCAGGATTGTTTATAACAAGTCGGGTGTCGGCTTCCTCGAAGCCGGAAAAAGGGCGGGCCCCCCCTGCATCCGTACAGGCCGGTAGCTAGCGCGGCATGTGTGACAATTGATGGGTAGCGTCAAAGCGGTGGGAGATGTGCTTTGTAGCAGCAGTGCTGATGGTGTGAGAGCTAAGCTTGCACCGGTGGGATCGTCAGCACCGCCTGCGGGCTCCACGCGAATCACATCCATCCCGGGTGCATGCCGCATGGACAGTGCGGCAGACCGCAAGTCGGAATGCCCGTGCGGGCAAATGGTAACGAAAGCTGGGTGAATTTCGGTGCTGTCTGTGATGTTCATCCCCGAAGCGCCAGCGGCCTCAGCAATCCGCCCCACAGCCGCGGGCTTCATGGGGGCATACCGCAAGTCTCCGGAGGCCCCGAGCATTGGCTAAAGTAAATGTACAAATGAGCAGCTTGCGTATTTCATAGAGAAATGTAAGCAAATTTGTCGGCCTGCTGGTGGCAAGGTGCGGGCAAATGGTAACACAAGCTGGGTGTTCAAGTTATCATACGCTGTCATCTCGGAAATCAATGATGAGATACACAGCACCTTTTTGAGATGAAATTTAGCCCGAGAGGCGTTGATGTGACTATGAGCTCGGTCAATGGAGGCAGTCAAAGTTGTTTGTGCTCATACGATCTTTGTTAGCTACATGTGAGATTGTTAAGACCAGCAAAGCGCCGGACCCCGTTGGGTCCTATTACTGTGGCTACCATTCACTGGTGTATGATGTGTGAAACAGGGGGGTGTATCTTCGCCCGTGGCAGCTACCCTGCAAAACCCTGCCTTCCCCAGTATTTCAGGGCACTCTCATCCAGTCACCCTAGTCAACTTCTCAGTGGATCGCTCAGGTTCCGCACCCACCACCAGCATCCAACGGAATCTGCCGGGTCGACAGCGGCCCAACTCTGTTCCTGGTCGGCTCGCAGGTTAACTTTATCCCAGGTCACCACCGTCCGTTAACTAGGGGCGCTATGCCTTACACCATCGGAAGGACTTTGACCCTAGTGGGTATTGATCCCGGGATCTCCCGGGGGCAATGGTCGCGCCTTACCAGTATTGCCAAAACCTATTATAATGGTATATGAGTGTCAGTCAGTTCCAACAGACATACCTTGCAATAGACTATGCTATATAGTACCGATAACGCATTTCAGCCGGGTGAAATATTATGTTTGGTCCGTTACACACTCAAGGCCTGGGAGTTTGAGTTATCATACGCCGTCATCTAAGAATTTAAATATGAGATACACGGTACCTTTCAGGATGATATTTAGCGCGATAAGTGTTGATGTGACTTTGGCCTCGGTCAATTGAGGCAGCCAAACTTGTTTGTGCTCATACGATTTTTGTTGGCTACATGCGAGATACCTTGCAATAGAGAATGCTGTATAGTACCTATAACGCGTTTCAGACGGGCGAGATATTATGTTTGGTCCGTTACACACACACGAACACACACACACACACACACACACACACACACACACACACACACACACACACACACACACACACACACACACACACACACACACACACACACACAGACATGGGCAATCCTACAGGTCGGGGCCCCCCCTGGGCTCTTCACGCTGGGGCCCCACCCAAACATTGTGGGTATCTGGTGAAGCAGCTGGCCGCACATTACTCGGTTTGGAAGCGGAAGGATTGAATGTTACTGTTGTGTTAGTGGATGGCTGCCGTACTGGACAGGGCTCAACTGTGTTTGCGTCAGTGTGGAATGTGAAGGGGGCTACGGCTCATTTATATGAAGAAGAGTAAGATGACTGCTTGCAGTGTCCACTTGGATGAAGAGATCTGGTGAAGTAGTGCTGGGCGCGTGTGACCGACAGGAAGTATCACTCATAGGTGCCGAACAGAAAGAGCAGCTGCAGTACACGAACAAGAACTTTGCATTTGAGTGCACAGTACAGCCTGCCTTGATGCATCTAGAGCTGAGGCTGCGCCTGCATGTTTGATGACCTGTAAAAAGCGCCGTGGTAAAGCGGACGATGTGGATGATGAGAATCCGAAACATGTATTACAAGGTGTAGCCCGAGCAGTGACTGCCTGCTTTCACGGACAAGAGGAATGACGGTTTGCAGACGGGACGGGGTCCGATCAGGGTTCGACACCCCGTACGGGGCCCGTAAGTTTTTGGCCTTTTTCCGGTATCCCCGTAAGGGCCCGTAGGACTTTACGGTGGCCCCCGTAAGGATTTTGGGGCGCGAAGCACCCCCGTACGGGGCCGCCCCCGGACCGGCCGAAGGCCGGTTACGGGGGCCCCGTATGGATTTTAAGGATTTATAAGAGGCCGTACGGGGCCCGTAAAGTCCCCCGTAGGGGAGAGGACGGACCGATTGCCGACTGCCGTGCAAGGTTGTAGTACCCTATAAAGGATAAGGCCACACACTTGGCAGACATAATTCATATTGCAATATTTAACTACACTTTTCATAATACTTTTATAGGCGCTTGGCTTTCACTGAGTGTGCCGTGTCCCCGAGTGTAATGGTTCACGAGAAAATAACGAAAATAACGATTTACAGGGCAAAAAAATGCAAAGCGTCACTTTCCACAGCGTTTCAGCCAAGGACAGTGCCCCCGTAAAGGTTTTGCGGGGGTTACGGGGGCCCCCGTAAGGTTTTCGGCCGGTACAGGAGCCTGGTACGGGGGCCCCTCCGTAAGGAAAATTTGGGAGGTACGGGGGAGCCCGCAAGTTTCAGGAAGGTCAGTGTCGAACCCTGGGTCCGATCCGAACCAGCAAATGTATCAGCTGGGCGGGCACCCATGTCCAATGTTCCAGCATGCATCATGCACTGCATCCAGGAACCCGCCAGGAACGCACCTCTGTATTTTGCTTTTGCAGCCAGGCACTCTGACGGGCACATGCATCAGCAACAGGTACGGCTTGCACAATGTCCAGACACTGAAGAGGCACTTGGCGCGGTACACCAAGTACTTGACAAGGGTGGTGCTGCCCACAAACGCGCCAGCTCCAAAGGGAAACATATATGGGAACATGGCCATCGCTGTGGTGGGCGGCCGCGGGACCAACGTTCCTGCAGTGTACAACACTGGTGCATGCTTGACAGCTGCACGCTGGACGGCGGGCACAACCACAGATATCAGAGAGTGTGCTGCCTCCGCAGTTTCCAGGGTGGCAAGTGTGAGTGGTTTGCAGGCTTGTACATTGGTGACAAAAGATTGCACATCTGCTGGTGACAGATACGGCAAAGGGTGATTGGGCGGGACTTGTTTGGGAATGGGGAGGAACTCCCTGACGAGCGGGTTGTGCTGCACACTCCATCCCAGCACTTCCTGCAGTGCCCGGGGCAGCATGTTGACCCAGCATGTGGAGTCCCGTGCTCAATCCAAGACCAGCACTTTCATGAATTGCTGCTGTCGAAGCTTGCCGGCGACAAACCCATACACAGCTGAAAAGAATCCAAGCCTGACATCCACAAGGCCTAATCACAGCTGGTCGATGGCATCGAGTGACACGATGGCCTTGGTATAATCTGGAGGATGGAAGACCAAAACCTCTGCCCGCTCATTGCCAATGTTCACAGGATGCAGGGGAGCGCAGTGCAGACACAGGTGCCACGTGCACAGGCCATCAGGTGTGGTCGTGCTGCTGGCATGCAAGCTGTTGTGGAAGGAGTACGGTGCAATGCCGGCACTGACAGGCTGCACAGTGGCTCATCGCTTGAGGTCATCATGGAGGTCGGCGCTGGTTACACTGCACACAGCGCACACCACAAGTGCACTGGCCAGCAGCATGCTTGTGACAGTGTCCCAAGCGGCCAGCCACTCGGAGATGCCGAGGCTGTGGCCTGGGCCACCGCACCAGGATGCTCCAAAGTACCCAGGTACGTGTTGCTCATGATCTGGTACGGCAGGACTGGGCGATGGCATTTCGGATCGACGACGGTGCTGCTGGCGCTTTGGCTGTGCAGCGGCCCTCTTGCACTGCTGCGGCTGCTCCTTCTGCTGCTGCTGCAGCGGTGCTTGCTGTGATGACTGCTGTATCACCGCAAGCAGCCGCCGTATCTCAACTGCAGGTCTATGCTGATCAGCCCATTCTGCCAAGACCTGCTGCACAGTGAAGTCACAGCGGCTGTCCATCCCATGCATGACACCATGCAAGTGACCAGCCTGCTTGGCTGACGGTGTTTCTGACATGCACAGGCCAACTGCACGACAAGCCGTGACCAGATGCTGGCGGTGTTGCCCTGTCCACACACCCGGCATCATATCCAACAGGCGGTAAGACACGGGGGTGCCAGTGAGGCCCATCTTCCGAATGAGGCAGACCTCCATTGGTGCTGTGCTGGAGCCCCAATAGCAGACCTGCAGCCCAGCCGGGTCGAACACTGTGAGCACAATGTTGAGAGCACACCCGAGAACCATCAGCTCGACATCGCCAGGCAGCAGCCGGTGCTGCTGTAGAGCTTCTCCATATTGCTCCGCCGTGCAGGTGCTGGGGAGGCTGCCAGCATGGGCATGTAGCACTTGGAAGCGCATCACGTCCCAAGACTTGGCAATGGCCCCCACCACGGTCGACAGCAGAATGTCAGGCACAGGCACATCAGTCGCACCCACAGTAATGAGTGCATGATGCACGTGTTGTGTGTGGGCTGGATGCACGCATTCCAGACACAACAGCACAGCGGCTAATGTGGCTGCATGCATACAGCAGCACCGGCAGTTGGCCTGCATAGCAGCACATAAGCAGCGGTGCCCCGTTACCAAGATGATGAGCATTGACTTGGACAAAGGTGTCGGCAGTGCCTTAAGAACAGCCCAAACCCAGCCCAAACCGTATTTACACCAACTGCAGAGTGCCTGAGACACTCAGCGAATCGCATGCCCACATTGGCAGGCTTACCGGTGCCGCAGGATGGGTCTTCATGTTCTGCATGATCACGGTTTGGTTGTGAATCGTTTAGCAAGGATGTCGTGTCGGCTGTACTGTCGCCGCACACCCAGCCTTGAAGTGGATGGGCCACCTGTCGGATGGAGTAATATGCAGCAGACGATTTATCGGGCGATGTAGCTGTATATGGACACGGTTGGCAGTTGTAATGCACGACCTTATATGGGAGATCGCTGAATTGCTCTCCCCAGTGCTGTACAGGATCAAACTGCTTGTTCCGCACAGAGTACACCCCCTTGCAATCACGCACCGCCACACCACCCGAAACCAAATCCTGCAGTACCGTAACTACTTTGACAGGACAGGGCCGGTGGAAGCAGCCGTTGAAGACGGAGGCGACAAAAGGCTCCGCACCTATGTAGATGCATTCGTCATCCTGCATCGCAGCGTCCTTGTAGCTGACTAGTTTGACTTTGGGTTGAGGCGTGGGCTTGCTGGGCCACAGTACGGTCTCGGAGGTGGTGTTTGACGAATGGAAACGCGGGAGAGGTGCTGGTGCAGGGGACGATGGTCCTGAGTTAAAGTTGTCGTCCTCAGGCTCCTGCTGTGCATAGACAGCTCTGGCAAGTTCTTCGTCTAGTAAGTTGAGCAAAGGCGACGACTCCCTGAGCTGTTCCCAGATATTCAGGGCTTGCTGCTGCACAGCTGGGTCGTACTGGACTCCTACCGAAGTGATTGTGCTTGTGAGTGCTGCCTTAATTTGGAGCAGCTGCCGGCACTCAGAAGTGCGGTGGCGGGAATCAACCCCGTGAAAAAGGCAGCCCTGTATCCTCTCTGAGACTAGCAGTGTCCTCTCAGGTGAGCTGCGCCGGGGTTGCTGGCGCGGTCGCTGTTCCTCCCTGTCAGGATCAGCTGCTGCCATACACCGTGCAGTGCTTCTACGGTGGGAGGAGGAAGAATGCCCTGAGGCACGAGTTGGAGTGCCGCTGCGGGCAGCAGGGCTGTGATAACCACTTGATGCAGCTACTGTGGGCTGCGCCGAAGGGTTGACGCGCCTGCGCTCCTTGCGCCAGTGGGAACCAGGCGAAGAAGTACCCTGAGGCCGATTAACACCTCGGAAGCCGAATGACGACCCGGCGTTCGCGTGCGGTGAATGGCTCTCCACTGAGGGAAGGGTAGCAAAGGAATAAACAATTTAGTTGACTTGGAACTGACTGCGTGAGGATTCTCAGTAAACAGTTCAGCGTATTCCACTGGGGACCTGGCAGCCTGGGGACCTGGCAGCCTGGGGACCTGGCAGCTTGGGGACCTGGTCTAACACCAGGCAAAGAGTACTCAGTTGGGAGATGCCAGGGGAGCTGATCCCTCTTACAGCTGGCAGCTTGGGGACCTGGCAGCCTGGGGACCTGGCAGCCTGGGGACCTGGCAGCCTGGGGACCTGGCAGCTTGGGGACCTGGCAGCTTGGGGACCTGGCAGCTTGGGGACCTGGCAGCTTGGGGACCTGGCAGCTTGGGGACCTGGCAGCTTGGGGACCTGGCAGCCTGGGGACCTGGCAGCTTGGGGACCTGGCAGCCTGGGGACCTGGCAGCCTGGGGACCTGGCAGCCTGGGGACCTGGCAGCCTGGGGACCTGGCAGCCTGGGGACCTGGCAGCCTGGGGACCTGGCAGCTTGGGGACCTGGCAGCTTGGGGACCTGGCAGCCTGGGGACCTGGCAGCCTGGGGACCTGGCAGCTTGGCGACCTGGCAGCCTGGGGACCTGGCAGCCTGGGGACCTGGCAGCCTGGGGACCTGGCAGCCTGACGACCTGGCAGCTTGGGGACCTGGCAGCCTGGGGACCTGGCAGCCTGGGGACCTGGCAGCCTGGGGACCTGGCAGCCTGGGGACCTGGCAGCCTGGGGACCTGGCAGCCTGGGGACCTGGCAGCCTGGGGACCTGGCAGCCTGGGGACCTGGCAGCCTGGGGACCTGGCAGCCTGGGGACCTGGCAGCCTGGGGACCTGGCAGCCTGGGGACCTGGCAGCTTGGGGACCTGGCAGCCTGGGGACCTGGCAGCCTGGGGACCTGGCAGCCTGGGGACCTGGCAGCTTGGGGACCTGGCAGCCTGGGGACCTGGCAGCCTGGGGACCTGGCAGCCTGGGGACCTGGCAGCCTGGGGACCTGGCAGCCTGGGGACCTGGCAGCTTGGGGACCTGGCAGCCTGGGGACCTGGCAGCTTGGGGACCTGGCAGCTTGGGGACCTGGCAGCCTGGGGACCTGGCAGCCTGGGGACCTGGCATCTTGGGGACCTGGCAGCCTGGGGACCTGGCAGCCTGGGAGCGTGGGAGCTTGGGAACCTGGGAGCCTGGGGACCTGGCAGCCTGGGGACCTGGCAGCTTGGGGACCTGGCAGCCTGGGGACCTGGCAGCCTGGGGACCTGGCAGCCTGGGGACCTGGCAGCCTGGGGACCTGGCATCTTGGGGACCTGGCAGCCTGGGGACCTGGCAGCCTGGGGACGTGGCAGCTTGGGGACCTGGCAGCCTGGCTTTCTAAGAGCTTGTGTGCCTGTGAGCCTGGGATTCTAAGAGCCTGGGAACCTGAGAGCCTGGGAACCTGGGAGCGTGGGAGCTTGGGAACCTGGGAGCTTGGCAGCCTGGGATTCTGAGAGCCTGTGTGCCTGGGAACCTAGGATTCTGAGAGCCTGGGAACCTGGGAGCCTGGGGACCTGGGAGCCTGGGATTCTAAGAGCATGTGTGCTTGGGAGCCTGGGATTCTAAGAGCCTGTGTGCCTGGGAGTCTGGGATTCTGAGACCCTTGGAACCTGGGAGCCTGGGGACCTGGCAGCCTGGCTTTCTAAGAGCTTGTGTGCCTGGGAGCCTGGGATTCTGAGGGCCTGGGAACCTGGGAGCCTGGGAGCCTGGGAACCTAAGAGTCTGGGAACCTGGCAGCCTGGGATTCTGAGAGCCTGTGTGCCTGGGAGCCTGTGTGCCTGTAAGGCTGGGATTCTAAAAGCATGTGTACCTGGGAGCCTGGGATTCTAAGAGCGAGTGTGCTTGGGAGCCTGGGATTCTGAGAGGCTGTGTGCCTGAGAGCCTGGGATTCTAAGAGCATGTGTGCCTGGGAGCCTGGGATTCTGAGAGCCTGGGAACCTGGGAGCCTGGGACCCCAGTCTTTAACGACACTTTGGTATGGCTTCGTTGGCCTGCCCGCCATGCGCTGTGTTGCACAGACAGGCTGGCAGGCGGAATGCAGTATAGCGGCGTAACCGGGTGAGGGGCGTTTGTGCCGTGTTGGGTCGTGGGGACGTGCGCATGCTGTGCGCCAGCTCGGATGCCATACAATGGCCTCTTTCCACCGCCAAATGATCATTAACCCAGTAGAGCATTGATTGTGCCATTCAGAGCCGACAAAGGGATGGAACGACGTGTTGGACGTGACGGTCAGTCTTTGCTGAATCCCTTTCACTAATGCCCAGTGCTTGTGGCC